GTGCAGACAAAGTAATCTCGCTTCCCGAACTTCTCACACATCGACCCGGGGCTCCCTACATACATATCTTCAAACCCTATCCTTATCATCCTGAAGAACAGTCCTCTCCCCTGCGATAATACCCACATTTTTTCAGTAGCAGTATCCTTATTTATACGTTATATCCGAACCGATCCACAACGTGAATCCATCCGTATTCTAATCGAAAAGTCTGATACTCCGATAACCGAAAAAGAAAAAGCTCAAAATCTGTCAAGATTCAGAACCATTCTGATCATGTTTACCAGATAGTAGTTTGATCAAGAATGCCAGATATAACAATGTGTCACACTTGTAATCAAGTTTGGTATCCCTAACCGAAAACGAACACCGAATAGTAGAAATCCGACCCGAGATGAGCGTATCGGACCATGAGTAGGCCGATATTAACGAGATGAAAATCATTAGAACTTTGTTAGAATTCCCTCAGTTCTCCGAACTAATCTCCTAATATTCCAAGAATATACCAGAAAAAACGGACATTTACCTGGTCAAGGGTTTCGTACTTAGACGGAGGAGTATTATATACAGCCTTTAATCTCTCCTCAGGAGGAGCGCCGTACACTCTGCTCATCTTCTTCTCCAAAACCGTAATCACGTCATCTTGTACCTTCCAAATCCCGGGTTTCTCGCCTTCTTCTGACCCAAACCAGCCGGAAGATTCACTTTTCATTGCCTCGGAAGGTGACAAGAGCTCGAAAGGCGACGACAATGGAGGATTCGGACAGTAAGGGCACCCTTTCAGACCCTGAATGCCTGACCCGCTTCGTTTCTTGAATTGCAAGTAACTCAGAATACCCGGTTTAAGGGTCACCGGTTTCCGGCCATTGTTCTTTACTACAACCGCCGTGGCCATGCTTAAAGGGTAGAGCGAAACGACATAGGTTATGTCCAGAGACCCGCTCGTGCAGCCAAGTTCGACCTGGATGAGGAAAACATTGTAAACTAGATTATCAAACCTAATCCACTGCAGTTTTCTCGTAGATTTTCGCTATGAACTGTGAACTAAGAACATGAGAGGATTTCTTCATTGAACCACCGGTTTAACGCCTGTCAAACCGCTGGTTATTTGAACGTTTTTGTTGAAAATGAGATTAAGGAATCAAACCCATCTCAGATCTCGCAGCGTTCTGAGGAACAGAAGATGTATTCGCACAATCGAACTCGATTTAATGGTCATGTTTAATCCTGCAATTACGTATTAGGAACTAAAAAGACCTGCAAATCACCTGAAGAGCGT